TCCCTATCCCGGCCCGCCCAACGCCGCCCCGCCCCGCTCCCGGCCTGTCCAGCCCTTTCCAGGTCCCGCACAGAGGTGCGGAGAGGTCACTGGCCCATGTGTTGCAGGGGCGATCCGGCCGTCGTGCCACCAGCAGCAGCCGCAGTGCGACTCCACCCCCTGCATGAACAAGGGCGTGTGCAGCGAGGGCTGGGACCGCTTCATCTGCGACTGCAGCGCCACCAGCTTTACCGGCCCCACTTGCGGCAAAGGTGTGGAAAGTCGCTTGCTCTTTACACTCACTTTGGCGTACAAATTAACGGAACGTGACTGATGTTTGCAATACCTCTAGGGCTAACAAACATTCGTGAAACGTTATGAAAATTTGGGACTTTGGTAGTTTTTTCAAACCTTCACACCCACGTTCTTTCGAAGCCTTTAGAACCTCGGACAGATGATTTTGTTTGTTGTTTTCCAGAAAAAGTATTACAAGTATCAGGTTGATATAATTAATAATTTGCTAATTAACCGTCTTTAATTGCAAACGAATGATCGTACGCACAAGAAATATAATATAAATATTTCCACCACATAGGAAAGAGAAATAATTAATATTTAATTACAATGAAACACTTTCAATACGTTGCTACATCTTAGATGGCACCTATGAACGTAGACTTCAAAGTGTATTCGCTATGACATACATCAATATCGAGAATGGTCTGAAAGTGTAAGCATATGGGATTTCGTATGCAAGCTGTGCACATCTCCCAGGAGAGTATCTGCCACATCTCTTGGTATGTTTTTCTTCAGGTTAACACATTTACGAACATTCCCCCTGATAACCTTATCTTTCAGGAATGCCCATACTTACGGAAGCTGTAATGCTGTCACATGCAGGAACATTTGGACTCATAAAGTGGACATTATTCCTTTTGAGTTTGCTACCCACATTGTAGTTGGTGTGCTGTCTATAGACGGATATGAAAAAAAAGTTTAATTATAGCCTAAGTAGCAGATATTTAATATTATTAAAGATAGTGAATGTGACCGTATCAGCTCTCTGACAGTGAATACGAATGTTCATTTAGGCTATTTTCTTATGTAACGAAAGTTTAATAATTATTCAATTATTGGTGCATGATAATACATACAATTATTAATAATCAAATATTTTCTTAATATTAAGAAAAGATTAAGAACTGCGACTATTGGTCGCAGAGATCCCAAGTATGCACCGGTGACTAGTCGGCATAATCTGTAAGAAGATCCCATAATTTTAAAATATATCAATGAAGATTATTTTTACTTTTTTCTGTTTTAATATTACAACAAATTACACATTTACTCATCTTGCGGCATTTTACATCATTCGCGTAAGTGAAAATCGAAATTTGGGGCAATTCAATTCTGTAGTTTCATTTCTGAAAACTTGTTTATATTTGCAAAATTAAAAATGATAATAGTACAAAATTAATTTTACAAACACAAATCTAATAGTTTTCCAAAATCATTGTTCATATTATTAATGCAATTATTTTAAAGTTCTTTATGTGCCATAATCTGATTTAGTAATTTATGTGAATTATTTGATTTTGTGTCCTGTACGTAATAGAGAAAAGCATAAGGGGGTCGCCGAAAGAGAAAGGTTGCGGAGTTTGACGCTTCGCTGCGCTGCGTTGCAGACGCGGCGACGCTGACGTTCAACGGGTCGCAGCACATGCGCGTGACGATGCCCGAGGACTCGCGCACGCAGACGGAGGACGTGACGCTGCGCTTCCAGACGACGCGGCCGCAGGGGCTGCTGCTGGCCACCAGCGCCGAGACGTCCGCCGACCGCCTGGAGCTGGCGCTCTCCGGCGGCCGCGCGCGCCTCTCCGTGCGCCTCGGCGACCGCGAGGAGGTGCGCCGCCCAGCCCTCCCTCTCTTCCTTTGCTTCTCTTCTTCTTCTTCCCTTTTCTTCTCCTCCTCCTCCTCCTTCCTTTTTTCCTCTCTTCTTCATCCTTCTTTTTCTTCTCCTCTTCTTTCTTCCTTTTCTTCCCCTCTTCTTCTTCCTTTTCTTCTTCTCCTCCTCCTCCTCCTTCCTTTTTTCCTCTCTTCTTCATCCTTCTTTTTCGTCTCCTCTTCTTTCTTCCTTTTCTTCCCCTCTTCTTCTTCCTTTTCTTCTTCTCCTCTTTCTTCCTGTTCTCCCCTCTTCTTCTTTCTTATTTTTCTTTTCCTCCTCATTCTTCCTTTTCTCCTCTTTTCTTCCTTCTTTTTCTTCTCCTCCTCTTCCTTCCTTTTCTTCCCTCTTCTCCTCCCTTCTTTTTCTTCTCCTCCTCCCCCTTCTTCCTTTTCTTATCTTCTTTATCTTCTCCTCTTCATTTTTTTTTCAGTTTCTTCTTCCTTTCCCTCTTCTTATTTCTTTATCTTTGTCTTTCATTTCTGCTTTTCTTTTTATCTTCATTATTTGCTTCTTATTCTCCTTTCCTTCTTGTGCTTTATTGCTAAGATGGCTAAAGCCACCTCCACGAGAGTAGAATTGCTTGAGTTAAATTGACTCTTATGTAACCTGAGGCTTATACATTCAGCGGATGTAGGTCTGCTTGTGACAGGACCATTTTACAGCAAAACCAGACCCATAGCCCAGATGATTGTATGTGGGAACCCCTTGGTTAGTTTGTTAGTACAATAATCTTATACTTCATTCTTATGTATTGTGTGTTTTTTATACACAGAGTATAGTATGAAGCTAAGAAAAAATATCAAACATAACTCATAATGGATATTTACAAATATTGGATTTTGGAGAAAAACATTAAAATTATAATTGTGACATTTCACAATTATCAAATACCTTGCACAGAGTGCATAAAATTCTGATTGAAATATTTCAATAAATATGCAAGTAAAGACATTGTTAATTACAATATTGTTTGGCAGAAATGTTTCCAAAACACACACTGTGGATTTTCAATACTATCCATTTGGTTGAGTCATTACATCAACTGGGCTATTTAACAAGTTACTGCTTTTTGAGATATTTTACATTTTTTATTTTCATTGCAGACTCTCACTGCTGGTCAAGGTCTCAATAATAACCAATGGCACACATTGCGTTTTTCTCGGAGAGGCTCAAGCTTGAAACTTCAAGTGGACGATGAATCACCAGTAGTGAGAAGTAAGTTCCTTAAAATCCAAATGAAAGAATGGTAAAACTGAAAAAAGTGGAGGGGAAAGATATAACCAAAATACAAAATTAAATTATATTTTGAGAAATATGTCTTTATCTGCTGTAACATGTACCAAATGATATAAATAATATTTATTATAAATTAAAGTATTGTTTGCAGTATTTTTCTTCATAATATTTTATATTTTACAGCTGAAAATATAGCAACTTTTGGCAAGCAGAATAATATTTTAGAATTTCGCACAATGCACATCGGAGGCTTATTTCATGCAGAAGAAGAAATCCAAATGACAAACACTGTGCCCAACTTTGTGGGATCTATGCAACAATTTTCATTCAATGGCCATCCTTACTTTGAAATGGCACGTTCCTCAGGTGGTGGTTTTCAACCAGCATCTGGTAACACTCCCCAAATGAAAGTAACAGCAAAATTTGGCAAACGTGATCAGCTTCTGGTGCATCATCCTGTCACATTTAAATCAAAGCACACGTTTGTTGGGCTTCCTGTCCTTAAGGCCTATTCAGCAACAAATATATACTTTCAGTTTAAAACAAGAGAGCCAAGTGGACTGATAATGTACAATGCGGGGAAAGAGCAAGATTTTCTGGCTGTAGAACTTGTGAATGGACATTTACATTATATTTTTAACCTTGGTGATGGTCCTGTTAGAGTAAGAGACAATGCAAGGAATAGCCTTAATGATAATAAGTGGCATGCAGTCACTATAGGCAGGCCTAGTCCAAAACAGCACACATTAATGGTGGATGATAATTTTGCTATTGTTACTAGTTTAGGGAATAATGAGAATTTGGATTTATCAGGAATCCTCTACTTGGGTAAGTATACATTCTTGTTATGGTATAGTACTTTGATCACATTTATTTATAAAAATACTCCAATAATAAACATTTAACATTAGGGGGTGTTCGAAAAGATATGTACTCAATGTTGCCTAAACAAATCCAGTCCCGACATGGCTATGAAGGATGCTTAGCAAGCCTTGATTTGAATGGAGAATCACCTGATCTCACAGTTGATGCTGTCGTACCTAGTCCTCAGTTAACTAAAGGCTGTGAAGGTGAGAACATATTCAAATATTTACTATATTATTTTTTGTTGAAGAAGAAAATCTATGAGATAAACCATTCCTAAATGTAAAACAATCAAAACTTCTGTTTCTTTCAGGTCCAAGTACTAAATGTAGTCATAATATTTGCGCAAACAGAGGAGTATGCGTGCAGCAATGGAATTCATATGCATGTGATTGTGATATGACTTCATACACTGGTCCAACATGCTCTGATGGTAAGAAATGAAAATATTATCTGCCTTATTCCAATAGAGAGATAATAGGAATAATTTTACAAATAGAATTACAAACCCACTTTTGTCAAATAGTAGATTACATGGGAGAGATACTAATGAAGCAGCAATAATTTGACCAGGGGGGAAGTTTCAAAGTCTTTTGACCACTCCATTGTAATATATCAGAGTAGCATTAATGACTTTGTTGCCTTTCAAAAGTGTACTATTGTTATTCATTTAAAGTTGCTTTTTAACTACTTGGTCGTGTAGCGACAACTGTGATATTTAAAATGGGGAACTGTAAGGGGAACACATAACAACAACATGAACACACACTAAAATGCATGGTTAGGGTGGGATTCGAACCTACAATTCTTTAAGCCAAGTCAGCCATGGCCCTTTAGTCTTAGCAACCTCGGCTACCCAGGCTGGCAAAAGTGTACTTTAATTGCAAAACAAGAAGCCATAAAAAATTGTTTTTATAGAATATAAGTATTAAATATTTTGTTACAAACTTTTTGTCAAATAACATCTCATCAAAACTTTTGTGCCGTGATGGCAAGATACACTCACTCTCTAGAATTGCAAGCTTGCAACTGTGTGTGTTACGATTATAGCCTATGGTGCCCGGGAAATGCAGAATTTTGAGCTCATTTTCACAGAAAACTGTTGAGTTTCCAAGAAACTTAAAATGACATTATTTAAAGTACATGTAATCATAAATACTAATGTTTCATTATACATCTGGAGGTGTCATTCTGTTTGCTTAATATGTGAAAAATCCTTGGGTTTTAATGTTTTTTCTCACTGCCCTTTAGATAATGAACTCTGATAGACATAGAGCTTTCTTTCTATTTTTTTCCATTTCCTAGCTAAGCTCAATTTGGCCCTAATTTTATAGTATGTATATGTTTTGATCATCGCCTCTTCATGATGTTCTTCTCATACTTGTACATGTCACTGACATTTTTTGGATCACTGAGTGATACAACTGATAAAAATAACAGACCTCCGACTGGCGGTTAACTGAACGGTTGTTCTTGAAACGTACTGGCAATGAGACCCTGTCACAACACACCATGTTTGATATAGATGGTGGTGGTGGTGGAATAATGGTGGGATCACACCTATTCATCTATTGAGGGAGCCCCACTTGCCACCTCACCTAGTGAAGCAGCTTCACCTGGCAAAGAGGACTTATTTATCACTGTTGTTGACCAGGAGTTCCCAAGAGGATTGATGTAGACCCCCTGGGGGTCGATGAAATTTTCAATGGGATATATGATGATTAAAGGGTCAATTAGAAGTTAATAGCTGAATATGAACCAGCTCCTGATCAGGATAATCAGGATCCTGTTGATTACAAAAAAAAGATTAATAAACTTAATTAATTGTTTTCTGATATAAAACAACAAAACATATGATAATAAATTACAAATTCACTCCTTTTGTTTCATATCCCTTGTTCATTCTTAGGAATTAGAATATTTAGAAAACTCAAGAAATTATAACTTTGCATTCCAACAATACTCTATTGCACAAGAAAGCACTCTCAGCAATATGCACTGGAGAAATGTAACGGCTAGTTCTTAAAAATCACTCAACCTTTTGTAACCATTGAATTTCAATGAAGATCAGAAACTCAGCTACTCAAAAGCAGAGGCGTCATTATTTATTGAAAAATCAAGATATTTACAAAAATATTAGAGTATAAAATTGTTATCTTTCAGGCATTTATGTGCAATTATTTGTGTCATGATTGTGGATGCCTTATATTATAAAGAAAACGTAAAGGGGTTGATGAAGCAGACAATTTATTCCTGCTGTATGCCCTCCCAACCATATTTATGTCAAGCCCTGGCCAGCATTATGTCATGTTGTCTCTAGGAACTGAAGTGATTGTACAAGGAAAAGTGGCTGCAAAGGTATTTGTGTCCTCTTGGCAAAGCTTATTAATAATATTGATACAAGACAAAAATAATGATAAAAGGGTGATGAATTTTTGTAATTAAAAATTATTCCCAATAGTATTATTAATCAATATGTAGCCTTCAGATAACAAAAGTTACATAGACAAAAATGGACTATTATTTTCTTCTAATCTCACTATTTGGTTTAGGAACCATGATCTGATGCAAGAGAACCTTTGACCTGCCCATTTTTGTGGTCATTTTCATCAAAGGTTAACTCAAAATTGTATTGGCTTAAATACAATTCTCTCTGCCCATGGTTCACCCAATCCCACCTCCTCCTATATGGTAGAGTTAGGTAAACAGTGTTGTAGAGTTGTAAAACGTGTTTACTATTTTGTGGATTCACCAATAGAATTGTTTTTATTTTTAATTTCCAAAATATTACATTTTTTCCATTTGATGCATTAGAAAAGTGACACAGAACAAGCATAAGTGTCTCTTGCAGCTGAAAGACAAACAAATAATTGTATCATTATTTTAATATATGGTTGTTTCTTATAAAAAATTAAATATTACTATTTCTACTTGTACAAAAAAGAATGATTATTTATTTTAGTTATTGGATAATAATCTCTAAATTATTGTCTCCAGAATCTGTGGCATATGAATTTGGACCTAGTAGAGGGCTGATTACCTATCAGTTTCCTGAAGAGAGAAGGCCAGAAATGAAGAGTGATGTCATAGCATTGGGATTCATTACAACCAAGGAGGATGCAGTTCTGTTACGCATTGACAGTGGAACATCTAATGATTACATGGAGTTGGAAATTGTCAGTATAAATATTCCCATCTGATGGTTGTAATATATAGTAATACAAGATTAAGAGGCCTCTTCATTTAAATAACTAATTAATTTACAGGTTGAAGGAAATATCTTCATGGTGTATAATATGGGGACTAACGATCACCCTATTGGTGAAATTAGTGTGAAAGTCAATGATAATGCATATCATGTGGTTAGATTCACCAGATCAGGTGCTAATTCAACAATTCAAGTGGATGACTATAATGTGCAAACAAATCACCCAGCAGGTAAGAAAGTATATCTCATGGTACATATATATGGTACAATAGTTACAAAATATTTTCACACCTACTAGCTTAATAACTGGGGTTAGTTTCAACTGTGCAAAACTAGGAAGTTTGAAGTTAGAATAAGATTTTAAACTGATTTGAAACTTGAAACTTTGAAGTAATGTGTAAGATTTGGATATTTTAGCAGAATCATGATCAAATTTACAAGTGTGCTGTGAGGAGATCTCTATCTGAAGGTCCAAATAACAACATATTAAATCAAAACTGTTTAGATAAAACATCTGTATAGTTTATAGTTATAACATAAAGACAATCTAATTGCCTCTTTCTGAAATGATTGAGACAATAGTATTAAGAGGAAAGCAATTTTTATGCAGACTTGATCGATATTTTATACTTTATCCATACTCAGCTTAAAAGTGGCATTGAATGTACAAAAACTATGACAAAATTACAAGTTTTTACAAAGTATTTACAAAATTACTGAAACATATGGGTCACCTCACAATATCAAATAGACTAAAAAGTTTAAAGCTTGCCAAAACTATATTTCAACTAACACAGTAATAAGTGTTATTGTATAATTATTTCTAAAAGATGTCACAGCTCACAATTAGTTCTCAGACGTCACACATTTTACTCTGGTGATAATTAATGGTTTGCTAACCAGATCCATTGTTGCATCTACCACTGCCTTAACTAACCTCAATGCCTTGAGTCTAATAGAAATTTTGGAAAATTTCTAATATTCTTTACATCTTTTGCTTTACTTACACATTTTGGTAATTAATGCCTTGACTAACTGAATAATAAGACATAGCTTGACAAAGTGTTAATTGATGGAGAGCTGCTTTCAATAAATAATAAAAATTAATAATCTCCTTGATAATATATTTTTCTATATTTAAATTTTATTTCTATTTTATATTTTATTTCTACATTTAAATTTTAAAATGACACAATAATTTGTATACATGACATTTTACTTTCTATTTAACTTCCTTTTTATTGTTTATTTTTACATTTTTATCTAAAGTAGGTATTTTTTTTCAAAAGTAAATTAAAATTCAATAACTTTACATACTTTAAACTTACTGGGCTTAAAAGAATCATAAACATGTCATATGGCTTGGGAGGCTTTTGTGAAAATTATCACTGTCAATGAATTTAGTAAGTTCTGATATTGCCACATTCTTGAAATGCAGGTTCCCTATTAGGGTAGTGGCAATCAAATCTATTGTGCGAATGCAAGCATGCTAGTAATTGGGTAAACTACTGAGATAATGATGAAATAGACTAGCATTGCGAAAAAATAATAAAAATTTCTAGTTTTAATATGATACATAGGTTGTCACATTCCTCAAAAGAGTAATCTACTTAATACAAAACATTATCTAATTTAGTTTTGCAAATTGATACAGTTATTTTTTGTTTTTTGTGTTTTTTTGTGATTTTAGGTCACCAGTTGACAGTGTTCAACAGTCAAGCACAAATACAAATAGGTGGTAAATGGAATCGAGCAAAGCAAAGGATAGAAAGACCATTTTCAGGAGTTATGGCTGGTTTAGTATTTAATGGACAAAGACTTCTAGATTTAGCTGCGGAAAAAGACCCACGAACAACAATAAGGGGAGATGTGCAATTGCTCAAAGGCATTGGTGACCGTATTCATGAACCTCTTCAACGCATGCAACAGGTATGTTGCTGTATATCCTGCAATATTTCATCAATAATTGTAACAGTCCATTTCCTTACTTATTATTAGATTCCAATCAACTTTTTCTCAACAGTATATCTACTCTGTTAACAACCATTCCTAAACTTTTAAAAACTTACAAAATAGCAGAGACAATATCATTTTATTTCTGACAATTATGTAAATTCAGTAGCAGGTTGAAGTTTTATGAACTGGAAATATTAAAAATTGGCACTGCCAAAAATATCATGTACAACAATTATCTTCCACTTCCCTTCCTATCTCCTTGTTTTCATGATACATTAAAAATTAACCTGAAAAACTGGTTGACCCCATCTTGCTACTTCAATCACCACTCTTCCTATTTCCAGAACATCTCATTACCACAACCAATTTTGACACTACTATAATGAGTTCTCTAATTCTGTGTACAAAAAAAAAAAAAATCAGTCCTAAAAACTTTTGAGATTTTGAAAAATTTTATAGAGCATTATTTCAAGTATTTTAATGTTCAGAGATAGTATATATATTATAAACTACACCTGTGATGTAAACATTAACATGTAAGATGTAAATAAAACATGTGTAATTTTTCAAAATACAAAAGTTTTAATCAAAATTATTTTTGTTATGGGATTTAGTTCATTTTGTTCTATTCTTATAAAATGTTGAAACTAAACTAGTGGTGATATTGAACGGCACAGACTTTCTTATACTACTTAGTTTCCAAATTTCTTTGGTCTGGGCTAGCTTTACGACCTTGCCCCATCCTCTTGCCAGCTTCGATCTATAACTGCCCAAACTATATTTTTTCTCCCCAAATTTTTGGTTTCCTGATTGTAGAACTGAAATGTTACTACAAGAATATTAAAGAACAGTGAAACCTTGTCCTATACGAAAATTTTCATGAAAAATTTGGAGCTGTTTTTAAGAAAATATGATTTAAGTATTACTGTAAATCCAAATTTTGAAGCTCTTTTAAACAGAAAAAGTGTTCAGTTTCCAAGAAACTTCATTGGAAGTTATTTCAAGCAGTTCCTCTCACAAATGCAAGAATGTCTACAAATCACTGGGTATGTACATATTAACAGTGTGAAAAATATTTCAAAACAATTACATTTGCATAATTTTTGGAAAAACAACAAAAAATACAACAAAATTAGTTTTATGTCAATGTAACCGTGCACTTAGAACTTCTTACAAAAAGTTTGTAGAAAACGTTTTGAACTGTTTTTGAGGAAATGGCAGAAATTTGAGCTCATTTTCAGAAAAAAAACTTTTGAGTTTTCAAGAAACTTTATCAGACATTATTTGAAGTGCATGTACTCAAAAATGTCTATGTAAACAAATCACTGCTAATGTAAATATTAACAATGTGAGAAAGAAGTCAAAAAATTACACTCTTGTCGTTTTTGAAAACACAAAAGAATAGAGCAAAATGGTGTTTATGTTATGTGATGCAGTGCATGTAGGACTATCTCTACAATAGTTTAAAGAAACAATATGGAGCCATTTTTGAGAAATTCTTGTTTTTTGTTTTTAATATTTCTTTATTTTGGTTTTTGTTTTGTTTATGATTGTTGTTTTTTGTTTTGTTTAGTTTTCCTACATTACACTTTAAAAAAATGTAATGATAAGGTTACTAAGGTAACTCTTTGACTTTTTGCAGACTCCCGCATCTGGATACCCTGGAGTGATGGATGATCTAGTGTTTTCAGGAGCTGGTTCAGGCTGTAATGCTGACGATGAAGATGAATGTACTCCAGCTTTTGACAGTGGGTCAGGTATTAATTGTCCGAGTAGCCTGAACTTAGTGCATGCAAGAAAGCATGAACATTATTTGAGTTTATTGGAAATATTATCTTTATTTGAGCCAGTAATGTAAGTAGCCAGTTAAATGTAAGAGACATCAAAAAATTATGAAAAAAAATTAGATTTTTCTATGCCCACCCCCTTTGTAAAAATTTATATTCCCCCTTCCATTCCAAGGTGAATAAATTATTTTGAAACTGTCCCCTTGCTTTGTGAGGAAAATAAAGTAAAAGTTAAAAGATGGTTGTTTCATACAGGATGTATTTTTTAATACAATTGTTAACATTTACAATAAAAGATATATTTTTAATGAAGTTTTTACATTATACTTTGGGATTAAAAACATAATTATTAGAGAAGCATAATGAAAAAGTTAATTTTTCATCAACCTCCTTTGCCTTCGCCCTTGTCACTAACGTGGGGCCCCACACCTCTAAGCAAACATTGCTTCATTACATTTTATTAATTTTTGCTAATTATCCTTTTTGAGAGTGATGATTTAATTTTCTAAAAGTATATACTACGACCTTATTTACCCAAATATATGATGAGGTTTTTTCCTAAAAATCTCTTTCAAAAAATACAGGGTGGTCTAATATTTGCAGATTAAGCCTAGTTGATTAAAATTAATATTTTTACATTGCCTTTCCATGTCTTGAAACTCATATTTGTTGACATAACAATAAGCTGAGAAAATGATCAAAATATCACAGGTTACTATCAAGTAATATCTTATTACTTGATTACTATAAAAACAGGTTAGTGGATGTATTGTTGTGACCATTCAGAGTCAACTTATATTTGGGCTAAATATAATAGATGTAATTTTTATGACTCACAAATTCGAATTATTTTTCCTTATTATTCCATATTACTTGTTTCTATTCTTCTCTATTGAGATATGTAAATCATTTCCTGCAAGATGCACAAAATTTTAATATTTCTTTGTTTCTTTATATATTTATATATTAGCAATAAAAGAAGTAAATATTAAAATGACAGAAAAATGTATTCGAAAAATTATTTGCTCACCTTTAAGTAATCAATAAAAGACCCCAATTATCTAAAATATATTGGAAATATTTCACTTAGTTGTGACTTCCATATAGAGCAACGATTCACAAACATTTTTAAAACTGTTAACTCATGCTGCTTACTGGAAAAACAATTTATCCCTAAAGAACATTTTTCCAATAAAGTGTAAATAGTTAACACAATAAGAAAAATGGAATACTAATGATAAAAATATTTCAATAGATTCAAAAGCATGTTTTTATTAAGATTTGATTTCTTTATTACCTAGTACTAACAATTTTTAGCTGTGTATGAAAGTAAAACAGAAAAACATTATCAAAGAATAGTTTTACAGTCTGTTGATTCTGAAAGTTTTCACCCCTTTTAACATCGAAGAATATGGTTGCACTGGCGTAACGTATATACACTTTCAAAATGGAAATGACAGTTCTGCAACCAATTGTAAAACACATTTGTGAAATAAATAAATTGAGATATTTGTAAAATTATTTCCTCAAAAATTCATAATAAGTTATGGTGAATCTTTCTCATGCTTTTTTCGGAGTGGAAATGAGATGGAGAGCATACCCTCAAAAGTGTATGATGTACTTAGAACATGTATTATCTTTTGCAATTCACTGATTAAGAGAGAGAGAGAAAGAGAGAGAAATTGTCACTTTCCAAATGTTACCCATCAATATTAAAAACTAAATTATCAATAATGTTTAAAATAGCCAATTATTTCAAAATAGATGTCTTCCAGCCATACCTTATTTGCATCCAAAAATATTACAAGTGCAAAACAGGAAATAAAATAAATGGCAAAGAATAATCTTTAAGATGAAAAAAATTATCACAGAGTACAATTGTTGCAAAACGGGTTTAAATTTTAAGATAATAAACCAGGTTCACCAATGCTTACTAATAAATAACATGCTCTCTATGAATTTGAAAGTGCATCATCCTGATTACTGATAATTACTTGGTTGAATAAATTTGTTATATAACATTGCATGAGCATTTTATTAAAATGCAGCAACAAACAGTAATTTCTTTGAAGTTATGGATAACTTTCTCTCAATTATTAATTTCAACTTAGCTTTCATTAATGTAATTTTACTTTCTGTGGGATATAGTATTCATGAGTATTATACCAAGTAATGTTCATCTTCCCAGGAGATGATCTCATTACTCCAGTGTACGTACCACCTACACGTCCATCAACAACTACTACCCCAAAATCCACTGACCGGCCTTGTGATGATGAAGATTGTCCCTCAACTGGATCTGGGTCAGGTGAGATCTCCACAGAGGATAGTACTCCAACCACAGGTGGCAAAGGTAATCATTATAAAAGTTGAAAAATGACGCAAAAACGTTCTCACGAAAGCACCGTACTATGAGCACTGCGTTTATTTCACATCTCAGGCACATAGTGCTTAAATTCCCACAGTATGAATTGAACAAGTCACATTATAATCTAGCATTATTGAGCACGATTTTTTGCATATTTACAAAAGCTTTATTGAGTTGTGAAATTTTGTACTTGGCATGAATGTTGCATGAGCTTTGAAACCAAAAATCACAGCATGAACTTTGCCATTAGAATAAATGTCATTTAAAAGAAAATAGTGATTTTAGAATTTTTTAAATTATGTTTTTATGAATTAATGTAAGGCAGTTTTATGTTCTCAGTGTCTGCTATCTGCTGTTGTTACAATACACTTACATTCATTAAAACAAATTAAACTCTAAATTATCAGACACATATGATAGAGACATTATTTAAATTTCAAAAGAGTGCATTACAAAACCATTTACATGTCACAGCATATTAACAAGCATAACAAAATTCTTCACACACTCTTACAAAATTGATTAAATTTTCAAAAATTCTGTTTCGAATGTACACTACGAACACTTATTTTTCACATGGTTATCTAAACAAATTCTCTAATTATCTCTGTGTATAATATTGACATAAGAATTACCAGATTTTTATTTATTTAATTCTGTATTTCCAACAATAACTCACTGAAACTTATTAATTCATACTCAGTCTTCAATATGTTGCATTCATAAAAACTGGTTGAATATAACCTGAAAGTATTTCATCTGTCTTAGAGCTGTAGATTTCTTCTAAAACGTTTTCAGATACACTCAGATCTCAGGTACTTAAATACATCAGGAGAAAAAAGTATTCCTCAAAAACATTAATAAAACATTCTTAATTCTATTTAGTAATTCTTATTATATTTTGTGAAGTTTTCCTTTCAGGGAACCAGTAGTTCCTATCCACCTGAGTTTACATCCACTTATCAGGAAAATCAAACTATATAATTAATAATAGAATTAAATTTAATTTTTTGTCAAATCTAATGAGCAGGTGATTTTGTTAAAAAAATTGAGATTTTATACAATGCAACTTAAATAGTGTATTAAATGTTATTAATTATTCTCTAGTGTTTAGTGTTTTAGATGTTAGCTATTTTTGTAATCTAAAATGCTTTATGTGAATTTAGAGTTTCAAGTTAGTTAACACTTATTACATTGTTTAATACAATAATCTCATATAAATGCTTTATACATTTTACATATTCACAAAATTAATATTACTTTCAAAAGGAGATGTTAGTATTTCATGGTTTGAACATTAAAACTATAACCAAAAGTTGTTTTTAAAGTATGTTATATCTATATACTTATAAATAAATGTCTTATGAACCTGTGGATCCTCATTGGTTAGAAAGAAACTTTATCTCAGACATGTCTTGAGTTATTTAATTACAGCTGCCAGTGTTTCATCACAATTACAACAATGATTTCTTTAGGGCTGTATATTATGGCTTAAAAGTGAACAAGATATTTATTTATTCTAGATTGCACTACACAATACTTTGGTTCAGAATTATTCAGATAATCACATATACTTAAAATTGTGATGATCATAATTCACACATCAATAAGAATTCTATGTAGAGCTGCAACGTTTTTAAAGGCTCGAAACGTTGTTGCCTTACAGAATTCTTATTTATGTATATCATTATCAAGACAATAAGTGTATGTGATTATCTGGTATGTGACTGCAACCTGATGTAAAATAATATTTTGTTCCCTTTTGTGCAACGCCCTGAAGATGTCATTGATTTTGTATAGATGTAATGTTAGCAGATATAATTAAATTCTTAACCCAAAATAGTTCTAGATTTTTTACTCAGCAATGGGATCAATTGGCACAATAATACATTTCAGACTGATATATCAGTATTACTCACTTAAAACATTTTATCCTCAATTTTTGTTGATAAAACTTTTTGCATTAAAGAATGTGTTAATGATTTTCTTTGATTTAACAGTCTCATGCTCTTGAATTCTTAGTATTTCCAGTATATCCTCCCTTCCATTTCCTTGAAGCATTAAATGTATTTTCTTCTAAAATTGAGTGCTAATATCTTTGAATTATCGTAGGTACAATGAACAACTATGGAATACTGTTTTTGCTATTGGTCTGACTTTATGCAGGCCATAATACAGCCTTTTACCTTTATATTGTGTATTACTCTTTTGTGGAACAATAATTCTCTTCCTTATCATCAATTCCTTATCTTCCCCATTTTCCCCCTCGTAATTTTTAATAAACCATTCAATGTTGCTCACTAATATCCTTTAACATGAACAAGAAATATTTTTCTAGCATTTTTCATAAATCCTCTTATGTATCTTCAAACCCAATAAAATGTAATGTATCTCGTCTTTTTTCTTCCACAATTTTTGTATGGTATATGCAAATATCAATTAAAACTACATGTGTACTTTTGACCACACAATTGAAATTCTAATTTTGGAAGGGAAAAAAGTTATTTTTTATAATCTAAATGAATTAAAAGTGCATTTAATTAAAGAAAATAGGATTTTAAACTTGGGAGTCTATTTGTTCCTACAAGAAATATGAGAACAAAGCTACTTGGAATATGCTAGAAGTAATTATCTTCTGCCCCTGTCTATTAAATTTCAGTAGTGTTGAGCATGAATTACCCTTGAAGCAAATAGTGCCATGCAAAACCACATATATGCTGTGTGTAGAAAAAGATCTCACTCCTAACAAGAACAAGCAAGTTGGAACAAGTTCATCCTGCAACTGAACATATCACTCCACTAGTAAAGTAATCAAATCATCAGTGTTCTAAGTGCACCTGTGCATGTCCCCTTCTAGAAATAATAGTGGATATTTATTGGAAAAATTGGAGCTATGCATGCTCTGCAAAGACATTCTTCGAATCACAAGTAATGTTTTACCCCTGTAGTTCTCTACATTTTATTTGTGTAGGAAATTATTTTGGTAACCCTAAATTTTCTGTGAAAGGTTCCTCTGTAGAAATCACTTTTCACTGACAGAATAAAAACTGCACAATCATTTTCTGCTGATTATAATTTACTGACATTTGAAAGCATGCCAAGTTTAAAATAATTTGTTGAAATGTATTTCAGAGCTATTTCGTTAATAATACTCTTTATTATTTTTAATAATGTAATTATATTTTCATCTTGGGAATATATAATATGCAGGTCCAATTACATGCAAATAAAATTCTTTGAAACTAAGATAATTATCCCATTTATATAACATTATTGCAAACAAAATTATTCAAAATAATCAAAAGCAAAATGTCTTGTTTTCCTCCCATTTATATTCTATGATCAAAATATTAATGCAAAATAATGATTTTTAAATTTAATATTTCCAAACACACTAAAATATGTAAGTAAAACGGAAAAAATAATAAATTATATTTTGTAATTATTTAATTTTTTGTACTACATATACCTGAAGTTTTTTAACTAACAGTTTGATATTAAACTAATTATAAACATTGTTTTCAGAAAATAAGCATTGTTTTTTAGACTGATTAGGGAAAATAATTGTATTTTATAAGTTACAATCAGGACAAACTAAAACTTCAAATTGATCATGTACCAACCTCACTTGGCCTATTTTACACATGCAACATGACTAACACCATATTATTAATAAAAAATAATTAGTCATGTAATTCTAATGTATTTAGACCTGCATTTTCTTCTTTTTTCTGCCCTTATAAACCTGTCACTTGATAATTCTTGGTATATTTGTTTATTTTCTCAAAAACGTCTATTTCATTCAATAAGTACAACATTTCACTCTCAATATATTTTCAACAATAGTGATATGTCCTTTTTCAACTTTTGTGAAATGTGAATGTGTCTTCAAATTTGCCACACTGCTATGCTATGAGAACACAAACAGAAGACCACCAGCTACAAAACTGCACGTGTTTCAAGTGAAAGCTTTCAGAATCACACAGAAGAACAACTATGCAGCTAATCAATGTAAGCTTTTCACAGTAGATTGACAACTGCACTGTAAACATTAGTATAAAAAAAATGAATTTAAATATAGCAGTTGCTGGTCTGAGTATGTCCTGCAATACAAATGAATGTAATAGTTTCACAGGTTTGTTTCTGCAAATATGCAGAAATGAAGTGTTTTTTATGACAAAGGAAACTATTATTTGTTACTTCATTTGTATTGTAATGGAAGATACACTTATACACTGCTCAAAACTGAAAATAAAATTTGTATAAAGCCTTCTATATAAAACATATTATTTAATAAATTAATGTGTACATGCACTAATAGAAATCTATTTCTTCCCTAAGGTCCCATCACTGAAGTAGTCACATTTGCTGAAGAAACAAAAGCAGATATAACAGAATCAATTACATCAGAAACTCCTGGCACTGTTTCTGGAGAAGGTGCTTCCATAAGCTCTGGCACGAGCAATGAACCAATAATAATTTCAGAAGCTGGAATCACAAGCAATCACACAAGCAGTAGTAGTAGTACAACTGTAACAAGTACAACACAGTTGTCATCAACTACTACAACAACCACTACAGAATTACCACCCCCACCCCCACCACCACCTCCACCACCTCCAACTACACGCACTAAGCATCGGAATAACACAAGAGTTCGGATATCATCAGAAGCTGCAGAAAATACAGCTCTTATCATTGGAATCATAGCTGGAGCAATGATTGCCATCATTCTCCTCATCCTCATCATTTTGAAGTTCAGGAGCCGCACTGAAGGCTCTTACAAAGTGGATGAAACAAAGAACTACCAACAGGCTCAAGGACCCAATGCTGCTCTTCTGGGGACAGCTGCAAGTAATGGTCAACCTCATCCACAACAAATGAATGGTAATGTCAAGAATGGTGCAGATAAATTTGCCAATAAATCTACCAAGAAACGTGATATCAAAGATATTAAAGAGTGGTATGTGTAAACCTTCCACCCTTGTTACTGTGTACATGAAAGTTGCTGCATCAGAGGCATATCAGACTGAATCCAATTTTCTTCACTTACACAGGAATAACTGTCAGAATCACATTTTTGTATGGTGCCTTGCACCGCATGAACAGTAGAAATTGTATTTTAAAGTTTGAAAATGACAGAAGACAATTAAAAAATGAAACTCACATCATATCATTAGTAATATGTGACTTTATTACGGACTAATCACAGTACATGAGATGTACTGTTACATCGTATCTGCTAAAATGAAATTGATTCCAAAATCGAGGCATATTTCTTTTAATGAGCATTTCTTTTGTTTTGTTTTAAATGGAATGAAACATGGCAGAAATGGCATTAAGCTGTATGTATCATCACTGTAGAGAGAAAAGGAATACCAAATAAATGTTGAAATATTCAACATTGAAAATCATGCAATACAAAGAAATAGTAACTAACATAAAATCTTGGTATGCATCAATAATGTTTCTTATTTTCAAATAAAAAATATAATATTTTTTTTTAAAAAAGCTGCTTAATTCAATAATATTTTAACTTTTTCTCACACACAGTGGTGAACACTACATTATTACGAAAGAATAATTCTTGGCAAATACATAAGATTCATTCACACATAAAACAACTGATAATGAAATATTTTGAAACTTCATGTGTCATTAAGTGAATGAATTTTGAAACAATATTTTAAGTGGAATACAAAATAATGTTTCTCTTCAGCATTCACACTAATGTTTTTGTTTGATTTAATTTAACTTGAACTCAGTTAAATTAATATAAGTTGAACTCAACTTTACGTTGTATACAATGAACAGGTCATTGTATCAAACTTCCAAAGTTTTGTGTTTTGAACATTATATCAAACATGGGAAGAACTTGATTTGAATAGCCAAATTAATAAAATAAAAAGTAAATTGGCTGGAAGTATTTTGTATATTTATTAATTACTGTAGCATATGAAATTGTCAAAAATTTCCTTTCTATTTCTCATTTAACAAAATCAATTTTCAATTTTTCAAAATTCTTGGTTAGAAAAATTGTGTTCTATGCCAAATAAATTAATTGTCAGAGGTAATATCAGAATTCAGATTTTGGCTTTTATCATGTGATAAATATTGTCAGGAAATTGCAAATTGCAAATATGGATAATGTTCCTGAAATAAAACTAATAATTACATAACAAAATTTACTATTACTTAAGTAGTCCATATTACAGCAATGAGATGTAGGTATAAGAAATGTAAAGAATCGTATCTGAATGAAAATTAAAACTGTTGAAATGTGAACTCATGGGCAAATGTACGAAAAGTAAACATTGTTAACAGACTTAAATTTATATACGAATTTTAAGAAATGAAAAGCACAAGTTAGAAGTATTAATAAAAGTGGTGAATTTAGTGTTACAATTAAGAAAAAACTTGTCATGTCATGACGTTTGTCAAAAATAACATTTATACTCATTGTGGTCATATTCAGTTGCAATACATGGCTGACTAAATCATAACATATTCCGAGTATAATTCATTAAACACTAAGGAAAAACAAAAACTGGAATGATACAAATGGACAATTTTATGGAAGTTCTGAAGAGAAGCAACAATTTTTGGAGCAACGATGTGACTTTTACATGCTAATGAGCAATCTTATTTTAGCTCAATGTTAAAATAAGAGAGATGTTTTAACTGTTTTTTTATTAGTTTATTGTTTTTACTCCTTTCTTATTTCACTACATGATTTTAAAAACATCTTCCATCTCTCATACTTCATTTTACAATAAGAAACCTTTTTAATTTTAAAGTACATATTATTAATGTACCTTTAGAGAATATCTCTTTACTTATGATTTATGTGCATAGTTTTGACTAGCATGAATCACGAAACTGACTTGGAGAAAAGTTAAATTATTGGTAAATACACAACCAGAATCATAATTTAGTTTAAAAAGATCAATTGTGTTCATGCCAGATTTTGGAGTTCAGATTTGCTTCAGTGTAGATGTTAAAAATATTCTCCATCCCACTACAACCTTCTTCTGACCATGTGTACAGGCATTTTATGCCTTTCCCAAACCCTCTGAAACACATCTAACAAGCCTCCTTATCTGAGTTCTCTTGCAGCTGTTGTGATCACTTCCATATTTGTGGAAGATATATACAGCGTTATTGTATATTATGTTGAATCTGTAAAATAAAACAGTTTTTCATTAAAATTGTCAATTTTATTTCTCCAATTATGGTTAATATGTGACAATTTAAATTTTTGACTCATCCACAATCAAACATTACACAATATACAGATACTGTTACACTTCTTGTGAACGGCAATAGCTTTCAGCTGATTCCTATGCATGACAAAATCAATGCTACGCCAATATCACATTGTTTTACTTGCAAATGCTACATGACTTTCATTACAAGCTGCTTAGAGTGAAAAGGCAGATGGTAATAGTTGAATTCTCAAGAAAAATACTAGTGATATGCTTAAAAAATATGCTTGTTGATTTTACTACATTGAGCAATTTTAAAATTCTAAATGCTTTATGCTTTGTATTTGTGCTCTAGTTAAATTTTTGATATGTGTGTGTTCTTGGATATTTGTTTTACAAAAGCAAAATCTATAGTTTATGAAATATCTATAGTAAATAAGCAACAAGGTGTTTCATTCTATGTCGTTTTTCAACTTTTGCAGAAAATAAATTTTATAACTTTATTATCAATATCATTTGTACATGTCTGAACAGCAAAACGTAAGTATTAGTCATGTTCTAATAAAATAATAAACACTCAAAACTCATTTGATTTGCATTTCAGGTGTGGGATTGTTGATATATCATTACTTCTGTAATTACAAAATATCATTACTACTTCTTATTTTCAGAATTGGAGACATTTAATTTTTTCTCCTTTAAATAAGATGATTAAACATAGAGCTTTTATTTTAATAATGTTAAGCCTAAGCCCTACTATTTGTCAAATTTTTGAATATATTTATTCATGTTAATGTTTGTACTAGCACAGATTTCACATATAATGCAGGTAATATTCAATAGCATAAACCAATGTTCTGATAACGTTTGTTTGAAATAAAGCATGAAAAACAATTATTGTACATAAAAGAAAAGAAAATATAAAATGCAAATAATTTGCCAAACCAATATTTGTAAAACTAACATTTCAAAGTTTCATCACGAGAAGTAAGATAAGTCATATGTAGTACAATGAAAGCTGACAAAATTTGCAGTCAGTTTCAAAATTTATTTTTAAAAGTAGTTTGTGAAACAAATATTATAGTTGAATTTGGGAGCATATGTAAATACTATCTTACTTCATTTATAAAGAATAATCAGGTTACTTTCTAAGATTAATTTAACCCTTGGATTCATCTTGTACTGACATGCAAACCTACTTAACAAAATATCAAATCAGGTTAAATTGTATTTAAACTCAAAATACAATATACATGTTCATGATGCAAAGCCAAATTTCTCTCACTTGCAGATTTTTAAGAATTTAAGAAATTGTTTTCTTCAAACTTCCTCTATCTCATTTACTATGAAAGTTCCTCTACCTGGTTTAGCACTAATAAATTAAAAATTTCACTTCACTTTCAAAGCAATTTTCTTCTTCATGAGCAGAAATATACTTCAGTGATGTCAACCAGTTGAATCAGTTCTATCATTCTATTTATTATACTCATCCTAGTACTATACCTTACCATTTTTTAACTTAAACTTTAATTTTGCCTTAAATTTTTCTTTTAACTGACTCATCATTTTAAGAATCATTGGTTAATTATTACTGCCTCCCAATAATTCTAGATAAATTCTCTGAAGTATAAAGAACATGAGTTCCCGTATTAGTATAGGATGAATAAGGCTAGATTAAGCACATTTGCATAAAGAACATGAGTACAAGACCGAAGTGGTTTAGAATGTGATGAGTGGATTGATGGCCTCATGAAAATCTATTTTCACTTCTCAAAAATCAAAATGTAGCTTCAAAATTACCTACAGAAAAAGCTTACAATAAGATGATTCCAAAAAATATACTAAAATTACATGACAGAAAAACTGACACAATATATTCCAGAAGAATAAAGACATTATTATCAGGACTTCAAAAATTGGTCAAGTACCGAGATAACAGAAGAAGACTAATACAGAAATAAGACAAAATTTTATTGTAATTCATCAGATTATGAAACAATTTACTCTATTTATAATAAATGCATCAATGACCACCATAATTATTGTTGGCTTGAAATTTTTATCTTGCAATACATTGTCCACAAAATTCAAAATTGTGTTATGAAGCACAGATAAAAGATATGGTCATGATTATTTGGGCACAAATAGTGTTATACAGGTGCTTTGTGTTTTACTTATTGGGGGTATTCCGGTGTTAATGTTTTCAATGGTAAATAATTTTAACCTTCTTGTAAAATTTACTTTTTAGGACTAATGTTGTTTATGCAACTACCAATTCAAATATTTTTGAAATATTCTATTAGATTCAATCTCACAAATGATATTTGTGTAACTTCCTTAACTGAAAACCTAACCCCCTGAACTGTACCTTAAATGTTATTTTTGTTTATCTTCAATTTTTTTAAAATACTTACATCATCTTACTTCATCCATCCTTTTGGTTACCAGCTAGAAAAGTTGGGCTTCCATCTACACTTTCTTTTCTCCTTCTCCATTATGTTTCTTACTACTTTCTTCATACTTATTCTCTTCTTTATCAGTAAATTGTAAAGGATCATGAAAATTACTGGCTATAAACTTTTATTATTTTTATTATGTTTATTAATTAACTTTGTTAACCATAGGCCATATGTCACTCCCAACTCATCACTGGCTCCACATTTTAGGACCTTTCCCTTCCATCTAGAGAATGGGTCCTGCAAGGGCAGAACTGCAAGTTTTACTACTTCAATCAAAATACCATGCTACAATATAACTATAGGTTTGGTTAAAAAGAAAATAAAAAGGGGGGGGAACAAACAAAAAACATTATTGGCTGTTAGCACTCCATTGTAGGGTGTGAAGAAATAGTATTACAAAAAGTTAGTGTTAGACAAGAAGAAATAGTATTACACAAGTTTAAAGAGACAACTTAAAATTAAAGTTTTGAGATATTGTTGTTTTAATGTTTAATATAATTCTGAATATGTCAATATCATAATTTAAATTTGAGACATATTATTAATTTTGAAATTTTATGCCATGAATTTAAAATTCAAGTGACCTAATTGGCATTTTGAGAGAGATTTTAAACTGTAAAATGGTAATATTTCAAAACTTAAAATTTGGAGTTTTTGCCTTTTAGGAACTTGGCCATTGATATGTAGTTATTGTCTGATGCAATCTATAACTCCTTGTATGACCACCAAATCAGTGAATAGACAGATGCACCCTCTTACATTGATATTCATAGACATGAACATAAAATTTCACTGTTAAATATCTCCTTTTTTGCTCTCTTCTTCTTTCTTTTCTTTGTTCATCTTCACATTTTTTAACTTAACCTCCCCCTCTAGTACCTACTCTTTCTTTTTGGTATTCTTTTGCTTTTCTCATCTAAATGAAAACTGTTCCCAATTCCTTTCAAATGAACTTTGTAATGAACATTTTGGATTTAGGAGAAAGCATTCATTAAGAAAAAATAAGTGTACCAGAATACTGTTTAAAAACTTACTGCGTCTTTTCAATGGTTTATTTCTCACTCCCCTTATGCCTCATTTTAATAGTGTCAATAACTCCAGTCATCATCATTGAAACTTCTCAAGAATCATCTTGATATCCTTCTGAAGGTTCGTGGTATATACCTCACTTCATTAATGTCAGATAGAGCAAATTATGTAGCATTTTAGTACTACAACCTAAAAATAATTCTATTAAAATCTATTAAGTTACTCCAATGTAATACACATAATTTGTTTAATTAGTACCTCATTATTACCAATTCATTGTTCAGGTATTTACTTATCGCAATTGCCTGTTTAAACAGCTTCGCCCGTTCTCCCCCACGCCTTTTAGGCCTTCCATGACCATGGGCAGGGAAGATGCGTCCTCCCCAACCTCAATATTTTTTGGTAATTGGGGTGTTTTGGAGGGAGTCTCCCAGGTAATCTGTACCTTGTTCATCCCCCCCCCCCCAATAATTTGTTGTTGGTTATTACGAATCTACTGAATGTTCAATGTTCCCGCAACAACGTAAGCACACGTGAATGGCGATAGTTTGAACGCCAAAAAATTTAGCTGCAGCGGTAATGCCACTCACCAAACGTCGCTGTCCACTGTCCAATTTAAAAAAGAACACTAAGTCAAACACAAATTGAATATATTATTCGTGAATACCTGTAACCATAATCAATCGACAAAAGTTACTTTCTCCACCTCCGCAGATATTTTATTCCGTACTTGAGAACCACCTATTAATTATTGCTGGAGTATTTTCCCCAAGATTCTGACAAACTTCCAATATCCTGAAGTGTCTACTATTTGGGTTTTAAAACCAGAGTATCACGTTAATATTCCTGGCCTCCATTCAAACGTCCATTCTGTAGCGAACTCTTTCCAGTCTCTTCGACAAACTTGCGCTCATGTTAACAGACGCTACCTCCCTCAATTATCTCTTTCCTACGAGTTCGTCCACTTCGTCCCAATTTTTTCCTTTCTTTTTTTCCCTTTCGTAACACTGGTAACTTCCAAGCCCATGATCGTTCTGCCCACACCTCCCATCCAGCCTTTTCAACCCCACTCATCAGGCTTTGCCCATTTTCCACAATGCCCATTCCATCCTTTCAGTCCACATTTTCACCCGTTTCCTCCTCCCACTCAACTCATTTCGCTTCTTCTGTTCCTCTCGCTCCTTGCTCTTTCCGCCCCATTC